TGCCTGTTACTGCCTAAGCCCGCCCACTATAGAACTTATAATCAACAGCTTTGGCGGCTTAAAACTCGGCAATGAAAACCGAAGCCCGAGCAAACTATTTTCGAATAGCCTGTTTGAGTGTGTGTGTGTGTGTGAGTGGGTGTGTGTGGGCCAAGTATTTGGAAATAACATAAGTATCTGTGGCCAAAGAACTGGCAGCTTCTACTCCTATATAAAGCTGGATTCGAAAAGTTTCAGCGTCGTCGTCGTCGCCGTTGTGCAATTCCCAAAATGCGGCCCGTGTGTGCATTTAAGCCACTTTTACTGAAACTTCACATTAATTTCAATTTGCTGCCAGTAAAAGTTTTTCATGCACGTCCGCAAATTGCTTTTGGGGACTAACAGACGTGTGTGTCCCTGTATATATATGTGTGTGTGTGTGTGTGTGTATGAAGCATATGTAGCAGAACTTTAACACTTTGCGGCCAAGAGGTGTTCCATATACTATATGCCCTTCGATCTGAGAAGCCCAAACGAATTGGCGACAAAAAAGGCATAAAAGTAAAGCAAGATGGTTTCCGACTGGTAGATACCCTGTGCGAAACCCCAAGCTGTTGTTACCAACATTCGGACTTCCCCTTCTGTACACATATTCTAAATAGGCATGCAGGCGTGCCTCTTTTTCCTTCCTATGCCTATAAGAAATGCAATCTTGAACAACTTTCGTGCTTATGAAGTTTTCTGGTTTTAAATATAACCTATACGAATGCATATATACTAAATCGCTATACTCTTTCTGTTTTTATAATATCCCATATGAGAGCCTACCTAACAAGTTCGCTATATAGCTTTGAAAACGTTCGAGTAATAAACAGATATCCACATACTTTTTCAATTGCAAGTCTCTTGCTTTCCAAGTTTCTGAGATCGTAGCGTTCAAATAGACGGACGTACAGATGGACAGGGCTTGATTGACTCAGTTTGTCGCCCTGGAAGAGTATGTAGATTATGCTTGGTGGGTTTGAACTTCGAAGTTGCCTGCGTCTGTCTGCCGCAGACACCCTTTTACCCATTCTCCGTGGGTTCAGCGTATAGTAAATAAACAAAATTGTGGCTTGGCATTTCACTGTTGACTTTGTTTTGCTTGACTTCGTTTTTTTTTTGTTGGTTTTTTTTTGACCACCCAAAAAATGTTTCGCGGAAAGCACAAGGCAAACACACTCAGGCACACACACACACACACACACACACACACATGCACACAGGGACACAGGGACACATACACACCGCAGCGAAATACGAAACGTGCTGAAATTTGCTGGCATTGCAAATGAAATCTGAATTCTTAAACGAAAGAACGCCACCTTCCAAAAGACAGACGCCCACATGCGGCAAAAATCTGTTTGACGTGACATGGAGCCAGATGATGTCGCCATCGCCCACTGAAGTATCTGCAAATCAAGTTCAGCTTCAGATAGAAAACAGCAGCTGCCTGCCATGAAATCATACAGCTTGACTGATAAATTTGCAGCCTGGCAGCCTGGCAGAGAGCGACCCTCATTAGTCTTAATAGTTTAACGAGCAACTACCCGATGCGAATGCTTGAAAGTAGCCCATTAATGAGCTACAGTTAAATTTTATAAATTGGGCCCAGTTTGTATGCATATGAGGCACACACCTTTAAGGAGCTTGTCTTTGGGTCAACAAGGATGTGCCGCTCCCAGCTGAGTTGTTCGTTTGGACAGGCTTAAAGCTGGGCACATGGCGCACACTTGTCGCCTGTCTCCCGTCTTGGAGCTAGCTGCCTTGGCCGTTGGGTTTCCTTTTCGCTTTATAGACCTCGTTATTTGCTTTCTGTGCAACTTGCGAGCTGCGTTTGCTGCTTGTCTGCTTTATATCCTGCGGGATATGCAAACTTATTAGACAAGTTTTGCCCCGGCCCGAGCTGCGAGTTGTTCGCCAACTCTCGAGTGATAAAGACGCCCCGAATGCCAAACAGCACAAAACATTTTGTGCGAGTCATTTGCATATGGGCTGCACCAGTGGAGGGGGCTGGATCAGTGGACAGGGACGGGTACGGAGATGGGGTTGCACTGAGGTACAAGTTAGGATTCAAAGGGTTTCACAGATTCGTGTTGTTATGCTACTTTGTTATATGCCACAGATATGTGAATAATTTTGATCATAGACTGTAATCGTTTATTGTTTTATATTGGATTAATATAACTAACCTTGCGGATTGTTTTTATCACTTTTATTTAACTCAGAAGCTAGGATAATACCTTCTTTTTATTTATTTACCGTTTCCTGTTTGTTTCTCTTGTTTGATTTCCATTTTATGGAACTCTTATATCTTTGGTACTCTATTTTAATTCTTGGACTTATCTAAAAGCGCACCTACGCCAGATTTACTTTACAAGTCTTCAGACCATATTTTTTGCCACTTTTTGCCAAGTTTTATTGTATCCCTCGAGTAATCTGCCTTAATTTAGATTTGTTAAGATTCCAAGCCTTTCCACGTATTATTTCACGAATATTAAGACTAAGTTCGGTAGAGCTTAATTGCCGTTTATATTAAACAAAATATATATCAATAGTTTTCGCACTATTTTAAAATAAATGTAGCTATGTGAAGTTAAAAATTTGTGAATTTGTTATGGGACTTTTGCACCATTTTGTAAAAATAGTATTTAATTTCTAGGTGTCCTTGATGTCAACAAAATGCAGACAATGTTGCCACAATTCCGCCGCTTGACAAGTTCAATGTGTTTGCACCTGACAAGGCATTTTCTGCTCTCTGGTCCATGGCTAACCTCGAGATGCCTGGCACAGGCAGGCACCGCGCTAAGATGGTAGCGGACCACCCAATGGGATTTGGCTTTTTGCAAAACAAACAAAACGTCAGTCAAAACTGGCAAACGGCGCAAACTGTGCCGCGGGCGAATCGTGGCGGCCAAAAAAAAAGAGAAAAAAAACTAGAGGGAGAACGACTATCAACGGCATGCCGAAGATTAAATACCCTTGCGAAGACAAGTCCTAGAAATGTCTTAAGACTTGGCAAAAGGGGATTACAAAAGCAACTCTATAATGTTCCCATTTGATGCGGCATTTCAGGTTTGTTTAGAGAAAAATAAAACTTAAAAAAAACAACAACAACCATAGATATAGTAGTACGATGTTGATGAATCTCTTGAATTTGTTCACGATCTTTTATAAACAATAAAATTGCTCGTACAAGAGCCTAACTTTTGATTGATGATGATTGAGATAGACAGACTTATGTAAGCTCGGCTGACGAAGAATACATATCCCTTATTATCAGCATCTATGCGCTACATAGATCGTGATAAAATTGAGATACCCTTTGCTAGGGTATTAAAAAAATGCTGCATTGCATTTCAATGTTTCAATCTTGGCTGGCATAAATAGCCGTGTGTTTATGTTGGCAGCACTTGAAAAGCGGGCAGCTCGACCCAGGACCACCCACGGGCTGATGTGCTGATGTTGGCTGGCGCCCCTAAAAGGGCAAATTAATTACAATTAAAAGTTTTGCCGGCCCAACAACACCTTGGCCAATAAAATTGAAATTTATGGGTCACACATGAGCTGCTCCAAAGAAGCTGGGCGTCTTGGAGTCGAGCTGCTTTTATTAATTGCCAAGCTGAGCTGAGCTGCTGCCTGTGGTCGGAACGTGGGCTTAAGGAAATTTGTCTTACTCTCGAGTGGACCGCAAGCCAAGATGCTCACCTCCCGAGCAGAACGAAGGACCACCCGCCCGCCTGATTCATTTAACTACTTAAGCTATTATCCGCAGCCGAGAAGGGTTGCCCATGTGCTGCTTTTGCTGCTGCTGCTGCGGCTGATAAATTTACAGTTTTTGGTACAAAATTTAACCGTTTCTGACAGACGCTCCTGTACTTCACCTAAGTGTTGCACACTGATAAGACCAAGGCTCGGAATGTGGGCGGGTCGCGGCACACATGTGTGGCGGCCCTTGATGGAAACCACATAATAATTCTCGAGAACAATGTAAGCGTCAATTGTGCATGGCTATGTGTGTGTGTAAGAGTGTGTGTACTACATGAATGTGCGTGTGTGTGGGTGTGGGTGTGGATGTGGGTGTATTCAGGGCCTGGCCATGTGGGTAGTTTCTTTGGCCATGCGCCACGGAGACGTTGCCCACATTTCTGCAGATGTAAACGTCAAGGGACAAAGGCAAGGACGACGGCACATGCCACACGTCAACTCGAGAAATTTAAATTAAAAACCTTTTTGCATAAAATGCTTTTTCTGTTTTTGTTGTTGCAACATATTGCAAGTGCCACATGCAGCGGGCGTCTTTACATAAGTAACAAACAGCAGTAACTAAAATACGGGCTCCTAAGATCAGAGATAAAGTATTTTAGAAATAGAAAACATTTACATGTTCATGATAAAATCATATATTGAACTACGGAATGCAGTTTCAAGTATTTATACAATCGAAATAAATGAAATATCTGAGGTACTGTGGTCTGAAATAATAAAACGCAGATATGTGATAACAGTGAAGCCCTTTCTATAGCAGCTTGCTATGCTTGATATAGTTGTCCGATGTTGATAAGATTTTGCATATATATGTATAGAGTTCATAGTGGAACTGAAAGATTGTGTAAAATATCATCATAAACAGAACGTTTTCATACAAGAAGCCATTTTGGACCGATCTATTGGATGGCAGATACATATATGAATTGTAGTCCGATCCGGACAGTTCTAACATATGATATGCTTGCAACAGAAAAAGGGACCATTGCAAAGTCTTAAGACGAAAGTTTTTAAACTGAGAGACTAGTTTCTTTTGAAGCAGACATACGAACAGACGGACTTGACTATATCAACTTGGCTATTGATGCTGATCTTGATATATACGTCTTGGTATACTAAATACGCAATTTAATATTCACTTAAAGAATTTCTTATTAGTATTATTTTAAAATTTTTTTTTATCATTGAAGTTTTTTTTGTCATACAAAGAAATTTAGTTGCAGCTAATGACAGTTTTTTTTTTTAATTCTCGTGCATTTTTGGGTTCTAAATGTTGATAAATTAACAATTTATGAGAAATTCATTTGTGCGATAAGCTGGAAACAAGGCGAAAGATGAAGAGCATTGGGAAGAGTGGGTTGGCGAATGAGATGCCTGAACCAATATAAGCATGTTTTTCTTTCATTTTTATCAGCAGCGAAACGCATCTGAGTATTTCATTCAGTGAACTGCATAAATCTGCTTGAGCTCCAATATTTAGCCAAATGCCTATTAAACTAAATCAGCTTGGCTCTTGTCTGCAAAATTCTTTAGCTCGATTGTGGCTGCTGCTTATTTTTTTTTCCACATATGCTCCGTTGACGGCGCCAATTAATTTGTGTGCTTAATTCAGCTAATTATTCCAAGCAATAAAACTCTCAATAGATGCGTAGATTGTGCGGGTTGTAGCCGGGGAGTGGAGGCACAAAACCGACACCTAAGCCAGTGACAAGAGCCCAGGGCCCAGAGCCCAGAGCCCAGAGCTCAGTGCGGAGCACGTGCCAGACAAGGACAAGGACACGTTCAGTTACACTTTTAATTCAATTCGCAAAGGTTCCTTGGCACTGCTCTTGCTTTTTTTTTATTTTGTTTTATATATATATGTTTTTTTTTTTTGTATTTAGCTTAAGAGCACAAATAAAAATCGAAATAAAAAGCAAGGCGACATTTAAATTCAAATTGTTCAAGACGCTGACGAAGCTGCCGGCGCCACACGTCGGATTAATTTTATGTGCGCCAAGCAGGAGCAGCTCTGGCTCCGTCACCGTCTCCGTCTCGGTTTCTCGGGCGCTAGCTTCCCTCGGCGGCGTTCAATTAGAGTCCATTGGCGGGGGTGGAGACGTCGCTGGGCTATTGCCATTGGCTGTGCGAGCTGCCATGCAATTGTTAAAATCGAATTAAGCCACGGTGTCGCATACTTTTGATCTCCTTGACGCCGCCAACGTTGCCACAGCCAATGAAATGTTGCAGATGTCCTCTACCCCGCCCGATACCAGTTGGCTCTGTCTCTGTTCCCGTCTCTGCTATAGTCTGCCAATGTCCTTACATTGTCCTTGCCAGTCACTGGCAATGCCCGTTGCTCTCACCAAGGTATCTCGACCCCGACTCCCAGCTACATCTACGACTTCCCTGCGATTGCGATTTCGGTTTCAATTTCAGTCGCTGGCGCAAATGAAATTAAATGAAGATTAGTCGTGTGCTCGCTCCCAGATTATTCCAAGAAATAAAAATCTTCACGATACGAGTGTACTCAACCGCTGGGCTTGCTGCTCCATCCGAGTACTCATTATTTTTTCGTTTTGTCTGCTGGCAGCGGCTTTTGCTTTTATTTCATTTGCCTTTTTATGGCGCTTGAGGTGATTTGCCCAACTTCGCTGCCCTCCATTAGAGCCGGGGGCGTGTTTACCAGTTCGAAAGAAGCATCGTCTAAATCTAAGCACATCACAAGCTACATTTGGTCCGCAAATGATGGCCAGCTTTTGGCTTTAGCAAGTCTTTGCTAGAAGTTCACATAGTTGACAGAGTTCTATATTGTTTGAACAGCTATTTTATATAACCTAAATCATTGCTGAGAAGCACAGCAGCTACGGTGAGGGTATATTTTAGTCAATCATTCCCAGCTCAGGCATTTGGGCACCTTTTGATTTGATTTTTGATAACATTTCAATTGAGTGCGATAATTTTTAGTCAGCTGTAGATCTTACATTCTCTTAGAATATCTAAAGTATTTCCATTACCTATAGCATAATGATAGCTTTTAGGTTAAGGGATAAATTGGGATGGTTGGAATGAAATCTGGATAATGTTTATCTCTGACAAAGTTCAAATAAAAATAATATAAAAGAAATCTTTAGGTTGGCTAGATGAGTGTTTTAGTTCGAAAGCAGATAGGATAAAGGACTCTTTGCTGAAATTTGATAAGCACGTGTATATATTTTGATATATTCTTGGGTTAAGATCGAACAGTTTGACAAATTTGTTTTGTATTTGAATGAGAGTAATATGCTGCACTTGATTAACCCTTTTCACGCCTTGACCAGCGCCTTCATCACGTGTTCAATTAAAAGAACTTGTCATTAATTGCCAACCAATTTGCTTTCATCACATCACACAACTGCCGGACACACTTTCCCGCGGCTCAAGAACTTGATGAGCAGCAGCCGTTGGTGTTGACATTTTTTGCATATTAATTAAAGACAAGGCGTCGGCCGCTAACTTGGACTCGGCTGTGTTCTTTTGGTCCACCCTTGGCTTAATTTGCGGTAAGTTCATTAAGTAATAAAACATAAATTTCATTTTTTTTTTCCAGTTTTTTGTTGTGTTTTTGTATTTTGTTCTTTGGCACCCCATCAGCGAGTTCTTAGGAATTTTTTTTTAATGCTTTGCATATTTTTTTAATGAATTAATTCTGTTTTGGCTTTGCTTTTTTTCGGTTTTGTTGATTCACCGTTCAGTGGACTTTGATAAAGGCGCAAAGTCGCTGGCGATAAAAAGGCCAACGCGAGGCAACGGGAAAAGGGAAAATGTTAAAAAATTTTATAATTTATGCGAAATATATTATAGAAAAAAATGTGTATATAAAGCGCTGAGGAAAGCGGAAAACGTGTTTTCATCAAACTTTGACTGAACGACTGTTAATTATGCGCTTGCCGCAAGACTTTTCTATCAATTTTTGTTGATGCTGTTTTTTTTTTTGAGAGAGAAAGAGAGAAACTTGTTTGTATTTAAGCGCTAAAAAACATGTTTTGCATCCGAAAATGAATGTGATATATTTTTCCCATATAATTGCCTCCTTTGGGCATGATAAAAATATAGCATCAAATTGCGACATCGAGTCGTAAGTGTTGTTAAAGCGTGTCGGGGTCGGGTTCTTTACTGAAATGTTGTCACTTTTTAGTCAAATTTGTTAGAAATGTTGTTGCTGTTGTTGTTGTCGCTGTTACTATTGCCGCCTGTTGACATATGTGCCCGCAAATGAGCCGTGCAATTGTCGTCGTGGCCTGGCATATTGACAGGCTCCGAACTGCGCTTCATTCTAGTCGATGCATTCAAGATTGAAGTGCACTCCTCTCGCGGGAATCGTCTCAAATTTCCGACGTGCGCGCAGCTTGCGACTGACAATTATTCGTCTGTTTGTCTGTCCAACTGTCTGTTTTTCTGTCTGTGAGCCCCACTGTGTATCTGTTCAACTAGCTGAACATTGCCCCAAGTAGTCTGCCTGATAGCGTGTCGATACATGTGCCATTTGGGAACACGGGCAGAGTTGCTTACACTCTACAACAAATCGACATTTTTAATGAGTCCAAGATTGATTTCATTTGCTGCCAGAAAATGCTCAGCTCTGAGTTTCTATGCATATACACACATACATAACTCTTCTAATAGTACACAAAATATCAAAGGAACTAAATCTGTTTACTTGCAATCGTTAGAATCGCATAGTTGGCTGATATTTCTATATGTTAAAAATGTTTTAGAATATATTCAAATCATGCATGTATGTTTATGTTTTTCAGCTATACATTTCCAAATCCATGTAAGGCAGTGTACCTCTGGCAAAACTGTGATTGTGTGTAGGCTTATTGACAAACAACTATTCGTGTCTGAATGCTAATGAATAGTTGTTGCTGGGGCAATTAGTTAAGCTACCTTGGGCATACATAGCTTAGTTGAGTGAGGCACAAGTTAGAGTTCTTAACTGAGTCAAGTCTTATCTGTCCACGAGACATGCATCAGAGCGCTTATCAGTGACGCTCACATTTAACCTATGAGCTTACGACTAAGCATGCAGCCCGTTGGCCTGGGTTATGTATAAAATTGTGAGCTCATCCCCACAGTACATTCTGTTCCCAACACTCAAAGCACCATGTTGCATCTCTCTACGGTTTCGCTGCCGTTGCTGTTGCTGCTGCTCGCCGCGCTGGTCAACGCGGAGGTTGTTAACTTCCATCTCTGCGCGGATACTGTGGATATGTGCACCATTGATCAGGTGCGGGTGGAGCCCTGCGTTCAAGCGGAACGAAACGCGGCCTGCCACATACGTCGACGCCATCCGTCCAAGATATCCTTCGAGTTTACGCCCAAGTTCGATGCAGACCGTCTGGAGGCTACCTTGGGCTGGGTGAAAAGTGAAACAGAGGAGCTGCCTTTGGTTACCATGGATCGTGAGGCCTGCAAGGCGACCCCCTGCCCGGTTAGGGCTGGTGTTCAGCAAACCTACACACTGACTGCGCCCGTTGAGGCCAAGTTCCCCCTTAGTGCCTATACTATACGCTGGGCCCTGACGGATCCCGTTACCTCCAAACGCTGCTGCTTCACCCATGACATCAAGGTGGTGCGCTAATTCTTATACAATACTAACGAGCTACGTACATACTAACATATATATAGGAACGAAATTGTATTATATTGGTCATGCAACTCGTTTATATAACAATAAAAATTAAAATATAAAAATCCGTAAGGTTAACTTGCAACCATAAGAGTCGCATAAGAGGGCGATATTCCTTTATGTTAACATGCAACGGCAAATAAACTGGATCAGCGTTTTGTATAAGCGAACACATAAGTATTTTCCATTCCATTTTCACAAGGATTGTGAATTGATACTATTTTCGCAAAAATTTTGATGTTCAAAATATAAAAGTGATAATTTTGAACGATAATTTTGAATACTCGGAAGTCCTTACTAATTCAAGTCAAAATAGTTTCAACTTTAACCTCTCTGCTTAAAACTTTAAGTGATTATAACTCGGTTCAAATTAAGTGCGATTTTTGAATTATTTTTCCTTTGTGTTTATAAAACTCTATGAAAAACCAAAATTTGTTCACTTGAGTATTGTTTGAAATGCTTATAAAAAATGAGTATCTACTCGTCACGATACAAAATTTATTTATGACACTTTTTAATGCCAATCAAAGGTCTTGATCAGCCCAAATCGTTACGCTGTTAAAAACAGACAGAATATACTGGGGATATTGCAAAAAAAATTATTTTGAAAACATAATTGACTAAAATTCGATCAAATAAAGTATGATCATGGGAAAGATATATATTTCTTGAGATTAAGGTGACTTCTTCAGCTGTACCTGTTCAAATACATGTTGAGTAGTGTCGCTCTGACAAATGTTTGAGTGCTTGTCAGCCTATCGACAAACATATATATTCGTGTCTGAATTCTAATGAAGAGTTGTCGCTGGGGCAATTAGTTAAGCTACCTTAGACATAGCTAAGTTGAGTGGCATATGCTCGAGTTCTTATCTCAGTCCAGTCTTATCTGTTCACGGGACGTGCATAAGAGCGCTTATCAGTGACGCTCACAATTCACAGTTCACCTATGACCGGGTGATAAGACGTCGTAGGCAGCTCGTGGGCCTGGGTTAAGTACAAATTGTGAGCTAATCCGAACAGCGCATTCAGTTTCCAGCACTCAACTCGCCATGTTGCATCTCACTACGATGTCGTTGTCGTTGCTGCTTCTGCTAGCTGCAGTGGCCAACGCTGAGGTTGTCAACTTCCAGCCCTGCGCGGATAGTGTGGATACGTGCACCATTGATCAGGTGCGGGTGGAGCCGTGCACGCAGGCGGAACAAAACGCTGCCTGCCATATACGCCGCCGCCGTCCGTCCACGATATCTTTCGAGTTTACGCCCAAGTTCGATGCAGACCGTCTGGAGGCTTCCTTAGGCTGGGCAAAAAGTGAAACGGAAGAGCTTCCTTTGGTTACCATGGATCGTGAGGCCTGCAAGGCGACCACCTGTCCGATTAGGGCTGGCGTTCAGCAAACCTACACACTGACTGTGCCCATTGAGGCCAAGTTCCCCCTGAGGTCCTATACCATACGCTGGGCCCTTACGGATCCCGTCACCTCCAAACGCTGCTGCTTCACCCATGACATCAAGGTGGTGCGCTAATGCTAATCCCAGTGCCATGTGGTGCAATAAAATGCAGTTTTTTTGCTCTGAACGTTTCAACGTGCGTTTTTTGTTGTTTTTAATTATTTCTGAGCTTTGTTCCTCATTTGGCTTATGGTACACTGGGGCATTGGGAATGGGACAAATATTGCGTCATGGTTATCAACCTGCGAGGCTAATGAAATGCGCCCAAGGCCCAATGGCGGGCAGCGTTAAATCAACAGGGAGTAAAAAACTTTGATTGAACTTTTGGGTGCCATAAAAGCAGCCACCTAACCCCGCCCACAACCTCCAACCGCCGTCAGTCGCCCATTTTTGTCTCGGCTACTTATCAGCGTCGTCAAACAATTAAAAATTGAGCACTTAAGTTGTGGTCATAAAATCATTTGTTTTTCTTTTTATTGTTTTTTCTACATTTTTGGTTGTTGTATTGTGTTGGGTTTTCTCTCAGTGGTGGAAAATTCAAATAGCAATCATTTCAAATCACTTTTCTCTTGGTTTTTTTTTTGGTTTTTTTTGTTTACCTAAACGAAAAATGTTTACGCTTTCGTGGGGCTGCTCGAAATGTTAGACGAGGTTTCTGTTCTCGGGCAAAAGAAAGCTGATAAGCACAGCATTTTGATCCCCAACCACAGGAACAATAACAACAACGACAATAACCGCCACATCGATAACAACAACAACAACAACAACAACAGCATCCACTTGAGTAAATAATAAACAAAGCAATGACATACAAAATTATGGAACACGGTTTTTTTTGTTCAGTCTTCGAGGCAAGTTTGTGGCGCGTAACATTTAATAATTTATGTGGAAATGGATATTGTAATCGGAGCAGCAGGCCATTCAGTCGAGTACGCTATTCTCGTTGTACTTGTAGCCCAGGACGTAGGGCGTCTTGGTCAGCTGCGACATGATGCGGCACTTGACAGTCTCGAAGCACTCGGTGGCATCCACATAGAGCACCTCGCGACGACGGCTGAGATAGGCATTTAGCGCGGGCTCACTCTTCCGGAACTGCTGCATTTGATAGTCCAGATAGGTGATGTTATCCTGCGGACTGGGCCTATAGGTACGCATCAGCAGGCGCATGCGTGCCATTTGCTCATCAATCTGAAGGAAGATCAGGCGATTGGGCGGCACGGTGAAGCCCTCGAAGAGTTCCCGTGCCTCGCAGAGATTGTTCGGATAGTTGATCAATATCCAGCCACGATGCAGTGCATCCTCCTTGAGCAAACGCTCCTGTATTATGTTGCCAACGGCTTCTGAAAGTTCATAAACGTTTGAGTTTTCTATGCCCCGATTCAGCAGTTCCTCATTCTTATTCCGCACAGATCCATTGATGTGATGATAGGCTAGGACATCAGCATCTATTATGAGCAGATTCCAGCGCTGAGCCAGCACATGGGCCAGCGAACGCCGGCCCGAGCCGGCTCGTCCATGCAGCACAATACGATGAAAGAAGTTCTTCGGCAGCTGATAGAAGTCACCAGCTACACCCAGATGAAATGCATTCATAGCCTTCGTGTAGATGTCTTGGGCTACGTGCCGTATGTTCTCGCCCAGCCAGCGACGTACATTCTCAATGTTGTGCAATGTCGCTTCCGCCAAGAGGCGACTCATGATATCCAACAGCTTGTGCTTCTCAATGTAAAACATGTAGGAGGCACTGAATTCGACAAGCATGGCCCTATCCATTTTGGTGGCAGAGGACATGATTTCAATATTAACTTAAACAAAAATAACCGATTAAATACTGAACGTCTATGGGACTTGTGTAAATAACTGCAATGTAAATTTTATAATTTTTATTTCGTAAAAATCTTATTGAAATTGTATACTATGCTTGATGATAAATGGATTTGAAAATAATTACTAGGCGTTCCTAGAATGATCAGCTTTGTTCTTTACACTGGCCGGGAAATTTACTATTATTTCAAAATATGTGTCTCTAGCTGATTTATTGGAATTTCAATAATCGTAGGGTTTTCGGAATTGCTGTAGCGTCCAGTTTGAACAGCCAGCCCTTCTTCCATAATATTTTTTACAAATTATAAAAGTCTTGGCGTTAATAATCATTTTTTTTTCTAGCTTTAGCCTTGTAAAGCTTCATATTGGTACATTTTATTGAGAATTGCTCATATAGCATATTTAAGAATCTTAGATACATATTTTTGTTGTTTCTTTATTTGTTTCAAGAATCGGACAACCACGGTCGAAATGGCATGCATAATAAATAACTTTTCTGTATTGCTTAAGTAAAGGAAGTTTGAAGATGCGGAAGAGTATATTCTACTTGGTTGTTAGAAATGATTGTTTTTTTTTTCATTTCCCGCTTCGAAGACATTTGTTTGAGATGCTGTTAATTCTGCAAGTCGGTGATTATCTCTCATTATATGGCCATAAGGCGCATAAGCATAAGGCCAATTGTTGAAGAGTTGCCACATTCATTGCACATATTAATTACATCCGTTACAATATTAGAAAATGGCGCGCACTTCCGGCCAAAGGCAAGCCAAGACTGGCTAAAATGGCCATAATGGCTAATGTGTTGCCAGGCGTTGTAAATTGGCATCATGTAAGTCCTTACACATAAGCTGGTGACAATATTTTGCTGCGAATTATGACAGCTCTTTTGTCTGAGCGCGCACATTAACAATTTAAAAAGTTATCTTGGCCTCGGCTTGGCTGCTTTTGGCCCGAAGGAGGTTTTGGTGACACTGCTAACGGCCTGCAAAGTGTTGCCAAATGGCTGTCATACTTTATATTGTCTTATGAGACATGCCAGGGCATGTCCTGGTCCCGGTCCTGGCCAAGGCACTCGCTAAGCAAAAATGCAAGCATGCCACAGAGGACTCTGCTGCATAGTCATAGCTATAACGAGTATTTGCTTTGCTGTTGTTGTTCTTGTTGCTTCTCATTTGTATAGAGTGGGCGGCTAATAAAGACTGGAATTCTATGAAAAATTGTTTCCTGTTGCTTGCCTGGCATTGGCCAACGTCTTATATGGCCATATTGTAATGCCAAGTATGCTGTTAATATCTTTCACATACTAATATTGCTCAGTGCATTTGCTTTTCGGTTTACTTGACCAACAGCAGCAGCTGCTGTCGTTGCTGCAAGTTGCTCCAGCTTTAAGCAATCATAACAACTGCAACAACAACAACTACAAAATTACTCTTATTTTAATAACATAAGGCGCGATATAAAAATCTGAATATGCATATGAATCTGTATGCTGTTAGCTGTCGCCTGGCACAAAGCGCAACTTTTTAATTAAAGCCAAAGTCAAAGCAAAAGCAAAAGCGACTGCGAATGCGAACGCGTTGGCCGCAGCGGGCGACAGCTTTTCAGAGTTCCTCAATTTTGTCACATTTCCCAGAAATGTGCTAAATTACATTTCATCACATATACGAAAACGTATCCGTTTTAATCATCCAAAAAATGAACAAAAAATAAGTAAGAAATTAACTATTAAGGAGTACCACGACTATGGATACCATGTACCCAAGTCTTGAGTGTCCCAAGTCTTGAGTGTCTCAAGACTTTAGTTGTTATGCCATTGCAT